CCGTCCCTCGGGCAGCCTCCATCACCTGGGGCGAGCGGCCCCCCCACGCGCTTGTCGAAGCCCAGCGACAAGCTGGCCCGGCCCTCCGCTCTCCTTTTTCCTGCGTGCGTTTCCCATGCTAATGAAGACAGGAACAACACTCACAAGGCTCCGAGACTATACACATATATATTTATACTTATATAGGCATGTGTGTGTGTAAACAAACATATCCGCCATATGTATACACTTGCTTGTGCAATGTAAACAGGCATGGTACACGTTGGCTCATTAAGCTCCTTGCAGAAAGAGCGGCGTCAGCTCTGGACGGGTTCAGGCTCTGTCTGTCACCTGCTGGGGCTTGGCACGCGAAAGCCATCGCGCCGGGGCGGCCGAGCGTCCCGCGGTACTGCCTGCGCCAGAGGTGCCCCTCCCCGGCAGCTGCCCCCTGGCCCCCCAGCTCACCGCAGCTGGGAACGACTCTGCTCTGGGCACCTCCACGCTCACTTCAGGATCGGAAAGCAAAACCACAGCAGCAAATGCACAGCAGAAAGAGGTCAGCGAAATCCGCCAGTCGGCGAGCAACATCGCGGTGCCCCCGGCACATCCTGCCCCCGCCGCCAGCCAGCTCGGGGAGGTGGCGCCGGGACCTCGGCGCGGGGCGCAGTATCCCCCAGACCACCTCTCCACCAGGCACCGGAGCCAAGAGGAGCCCGTAGCCGGCACGGTGCAGCTGCCACCGCAACCAGAACTGCTCCAGCAGAGTGTTACAGATCCCAGTCTAGCGTAGATGCTGTTTAACAGTTCCAGGAATACAATAGGATCCCGCAAATCCTCCCAAAATGGAAATTTTCACAAGGTATTAGAACGCAAACACTATAAAAAAGCCACGAATCCTCCCAAAATTTTCACAAGGTATTAGAACGCAAACACTATAAAAAAGAAAAAGCCCGCATCTACAAAAAAAGCACCTCGGATTTAGACTTTTGGGTTTTGGGTCTTACAGATCAGTTTAAAAATGGCTCAGAGGATTTGGCTCACCCTGCAAAGTTTGCCAGCGCCAGGTAATCTGTCTGAAAGCAAGAAGAGGCAAACGGAGTTTGGCGCTGGCTTAAGCAATCGCCTTCGAGGCTTCGATTGCAGGGGACGACGCTCAGCTCCGTGCTTCAGTAAGACCCGAGAGCCCACCGGAGCACGGCGCGTACCCAGCCTCCTGATAAGGATCATGAATAATTAAGAAATAAGCTACGGCCGCAGCCGTGGCTGTCAAAATAAGCCAAGCCCAGAAAGGCACGGTGAAATACGGGCTGCTGCACTGGACAGGCTGGGCCACGCTCCCCCACCTCCCAACCGCTCGGATGCGCGGGGAAGGATCCGACCTTACAGCCAGCCCTGCCTCGGGGCAGATCCCCGGCCAGCGGCAGGAGCAGCCGGGCAGCCCCGGCGTTGCCCTCTCCTGTGGCCGCATCAGTCGCTGCTCTCGGGCTCGGAGGGGGAAAGGGAGATGCTCAAGACCGTGGCAGAAAGGCACGTTAAAATTCTCTCTGAGCCTTCACTGCAGCTCTCCTCCAGTGACGTTCGGTCTGCATCACCGCACGGCCGGGGAAGAGCCGCACTGAGGCAGCTTCGGGCACGCTAACGAACACAAGCCCCGGCTCTCCCGCTTGCGAGGTGGGGGAACAAAGCAGAAAGCAGCTGTGCACCCACAAAGAGCTGGGGGACCCCCCTGAGGGGCAAGGGCTACTCTCGGCAGGGTCCGCGTGGGGGCTCCGAGTCGCCAGCCGGACCGAGAGGCAACACTGCCAGCACTTGCAGACCCACACGGGGCTGAGAACCCCAGAGCGGCGGCTGCCACCCCGCACTGGAAACGTTCACAGGCTGAACGTGCGGGGAGCTGCTGCTCCGGCACCCGACGCCGGCTCACCCCACACCGCTCACAGGCGGCAGCCTCCGCAGGCGGCGAGCGTGCCGGCAGCACCGGCTCCCCCGCCAGAGGCGCACGCCGGCACGGCCACCGTCCCTGGAGCGCGTTATGTGCATCAGGACTAATTAACCTGTTGATTCATTAAAAATCTGACACAGTGCGCAGCCTGGGGAGGCTGCAAGCAGCTCCGGCACCGTGCCGGTGCTGCCTTCCCCCAGGCAGGACGCTGCCGTCCTGCCGCGGGGCTGCAGCCCTGCCAGGGCCAGCGCTGTGCGGCGCTCGCCGAAGCACGCCCAGCGCCAAGGGGTTTGACTGGCGATGCCGATTTAGGCATGGTAATTAACGCGACTCCATTCCCTGGCCAAATTGAAGAACGAGCTCTGGTCCCTGCTCCCACGATTGTGAGGCGGTAAACGGGGGAGCACCAAACTCACGTGCCGATAACAACCACCGCGCTCCCACCCCGCAGCAGCTCCCCGAGGTGCGGGGCTCGTCGTGAGCACGAAGATTCCCCCCCCCCCCCAGCAGGGGAGCCCTGAAATCGCATCCGCAGCCACTGGAGGTTCAACCCTGAACCCATCCCCGCAGGGACGGACCCATGGCTCTGCGGCAGCACCAGCCCTCTGCACTCGCCCCAGCGTCACCCAGCCTGACCTACACGTTACTTTGTGCAAAGTGCAAATATTTCATAGACCGGGAAGCTGAGTGGCATAAAACTACCGGGCTGGCAAGGCGCTGCTGCATGCAGCGATCCCAAATGTCATCACTGCAGCCGGGCACGGGGATCCCGCAGGTCTCTCCCCTCCTCGCCCCGCACAGACGCACCCGGGTGCTGGCGCAGGAGGATTCAGCTCTCGGCAGAGGGTGGGCACGGGCTGCCTGACCCCACGGCATCCCTTTACGCGCGGATCCCTCACTCAAAGGGTAGCGACGTGAGCCGTTTGGTGGACGCCGGCCAGGGAAAACGGCGAGGTTTGTGCTAGCAGGAAACACCTACGGCCCGAGCCCCGTCCGGGCTGTCCTCCCCAGCCGGCACTCGCTGGAAGGAACCTTCTGGCATGGCTGCCAGACCCGAAAAGTTGCGACAGCTCTCCCTCCGAGCTCGCCGCTCCGCGTCCCAGTTTTGGGGTACGCGGCGGGAACTTTGCACCAGCAGGTGCAATGCCCGGCCAGAAACTGAAATCCTCCAGCGAGATCCCGCCCGCCCAGTGCAGAACACAGCGGCGCGGCTTCGGCACTCACCTGTGCTGTTCGAGGGTCTCGTTGTCCGGCAGCTCTGCCCCGCACACGCTGCACTGCTCGCCCAGGGCTCTGCTCTCCGTCTTCATGCCGGCCGCCAGCTCCCCCAGCTTGCTGAACAGCTCCCGCTGGATGAAGCCCTGGGGCAGCAGCCCCCCGTAGGCGCTGAAGTCCATGGAGACGGCCAGGGCCGGCTGCACGTGCAGGGCGGACGCCACGGAGGGTGGCACGCCGAGCACCGGCTCAGTCTTGTGGTTCGGCAGCAGGGAGTAGATGCCCAGGGGCTTCTCGCCCTGGGGGGCAGCAGCGGACGGCTCTGGCCCCAGCGGCAGCCCCTGGCCAGGCTCGGGCGGCGGCTCGGCACCCTCTTCGCGGGCATAGTGCAGTTCGCGAGCGCTGGTGATGACGCTGCCGCGGGTCGGGGTGCCGGGCCATTCCTTGCCCTTCTCGTCGGGCTTCTCCCCGCCGGAGGCGCCAGGCTCGACCGTCCGGGGGCTGTCGCGGCTGGAGGCGTCGTCCACCTGCATCGCTTCGGTTTTGACCTCGGCGAGGCCGGGGGGGCGGCGGGCGGCAGTGGGGCGTGAGTCTCCTCGGGGGCGCTGGGCGGCAGGGCGCCCTGCAGCAGCGACTGCCCGATGGTCATCAAGCTGTCCACTGCCGCCTTGGTGGGACTCATGGCGGAGAGGGGGCCGAAGGAAGCGGAGGCGGAGGGGCTCTGCTCCGCCGCGGCCGCCGGCAGGCTCTGGCCGGCCGCACCTGTGTAGCCACTCTCCTCACCGGCAGGCTTGGAGATGAAGAGGCCCTTGATGTACCTTGACTTCCTCTCCTCCTCTTCCTCGGTGGCGGCGCCTCCATCGGCCATGGCGACTTCGGCATCGTTGTCCTCGGAGGCCTGGATGGTCTCCAGGATCTTCAGGCACTGCTCCTCCAGGTACTCGATTTCCAGGATCTCGGCAGCGTAGAGCAGGTCGTCCAAGTCTTCGACCTTGGCCTGCAGGGTGGCGGTGTACGCGTACTCCAGGATCTGCTGGAACGTCTTTGGCGAGAGGAAGTCCAGGGTGTAATGCTGGCTGTTGCGGTGGAAGAGGATCTCGAACATCTTGCTGGTGCAGGCCAGCACCGTCCGGTGCGCGTGGAACTCCTGGCTGTCCACCATGATGACCACGTCGCACAGCGTCCCCGCCAGGCGCATCTGGTTGGCTTTGTGCAGCAGCCCGGTGGGGTGGCAGGGGTTCTGCAGCTGGATCGTGCCCATCTTAGTCAAATCCATTGCGCTCCCGAGGCTCACTCATCAGGGTGCCTTGCCGTCGCTCAAATCTGGGACTAGCTTTGTGTGCCGACTATCTGCGAAAACAAAAGGCGGAGGGGGGAGAGAGGAGCAGAGAGGAGAG